CATTCTGAGGATTTGGCATATACCTCAGAAACCGGGAATCTCTTTCATCAACTTGAACAACCAGATTATCTTGCACAGGCTAAGATCGTGTAGGAACATCCACTCGTGGAGCATTATCGTCAGGAGGAGAATTAAACATCTGATTAGTCATCACTATAAAAAATGACATGGGATCCACATTATTTATCCTCTATATTATCCTTCAGTAACTATTTCAAGATAGGTTTGAATGTCAGGAGATCAGCTGAGTGACACAAGAATAGAAAGCCGAATGAGCTTGTTTATGAAAAGCTGTATGCAAATGTGTTTCAAGGAACTCAAAAGTTATGTTTGAAAACACCATAAAGTGGATAACACATTTTGATAACTGAAAATCCCATTAAAAATCTGAAGGATTACAAAATAGAGTACAACTTCCAAAATCCATGGTCAAACCTATGATGTTTGCAAGATAAGTTCCTTGAAAAAAGGTTTAAAGAAAAGGTGCATGAATGCATAGAAGGATGAACGAATGTATGCACAAACACAGGTATTCACATATATATGCAAAAAAATAAGGGTATAGGCTTTAAGATCATGAGCATGAAGCCATGGTCTACCCATCCTAAAAGGTGTGTACTATGGGTTTATTTGTACCTGTACAACGGGTTCTAACAAGTTCCCAAAGTCATCAGTCCACCTTTCAGATATTATCAATTTCCCAATTACTCGGTAGTTAATAATATTCTCAAGAGAACCTCTTTTGAATGTAGTATCGCGTATAAACTATTTTGGGACTACTCCTTCATAGTTATCGCAATACTTCCTAATAAGGTCAAGTTGGGTTAAAGGTAGCTAAAGGTCCTCAGTGTCACGGGCTCCTAGGTCGAAAGTAGTAATGTTTTAACGAATACTCGTTTACAATACTATTCCCAAGAGGTCCTCAACTGAGTGGTGATTTCTCAAGTTAGCTTGGTCGGGAATCAACTCTCTATAAGCCTCCTTGAATATATCACCTTCCTATCATAAGTGCACTCAAATTGGGGTATAGGACTTATCTCACCATACAAAGGTAACAATCTAAGCATATACAGACATACAAATATACAGATATACATATATACAACAAATAACACAAATCAAACAAGTTAGAGGAAACCCTCGAAAGAAAGAGCTCCCTAGTGAAGTCGCCATTTCTGTCGCGGTGAGAATCAGATATCAAGCTATCGATTAACTTGAATCACAAATCTTAATTCACCACCGATCTTTAATTTATCCAAGGGAAGGGAAAAAGAACGAATAACCTAAAAAATGCAATGCAAAAACAAAGCAAAAGAGAATCTAAGGTTCGATAGTTGGTTATACCCATGGAAGATGCTAGCATCCTAAGTATTTGTAGTACTCTATAGGAACCTCTTGTTTTATTGTGTTATTTGTTATTTTGTCTGCTAAGGGTGAAAAGGAAAAATGGAGACCTAAGGTGTTATTTTTACGTATGCTCGCCAAGACATCGCATCTCGTGCCTACGTATTCTGACGAGAATAGAATCAGAGCATGCGTAGTTCCCCGTACTAAGGGTAAACAAAGTTTGTTTATTGGTGTTTAGGAGAAGAGACAAGTTGTCATCTTAAGGAGAATACTCAACTTAAACCACCAAAAACATGTAGAAGATGGATCTTTGCTTCACATTAAGAGAAAGGCTCTAACTCGGATATAGAATCGACGAGTATGCTACATACCTCTCTCAAGTGGAAAAGAATCAACATCTTTCTCAACTATATCACGGGGTAGGAGAATGTTATCTCGACTAAGGATGACTCATGTCTAATTCTCTCATGGGAGAAAAGGGGAACCTAATTGTAGGTTGTCTAGTTAACATTCGAAGGGAACTAACCTAATTCTATGAATCTAAAATAAGATTGAAGGGGAAAACTATCTTATTGTTATCATACAATAATTGACCATAATGTCTAATATTTATTCGATTTATCGATAACAAATTCGAATCGAGAACCTAAGGGGACTTGGAGATCCAAATCATATATGCATGTCAAACATCCACGAGTAAATTGATAAGTAACTAATCACGATTAATCAAAATTTTAATTAAGATTCACAAACTATCAATCAATTAGAATTTTTTTAAAATTCAATTAATCCATTAAAAATTTAATTAATCAAAATTAGGAAAATTATTTAATAAGAATTAGGAATTTTAATTAATAATAAAACTAACAATTTAAAATAAATAAATAAATCTAAACAGATCAAAAGGGTGTAAAAAAATTACCATGGATGTGTAGCTTTTTTAAATAAAAAAGCATGGGGTGTGACACCAAATTAGACATTAACCTAAGGCCCATTAACATAAACCTTAATATTTATCATAGAATAATAATAACTAAATAAAAAGTTAAAATTTAAAAAACAATAAAAAATAAGAAATAATAATATAAAAAATAGAAAGAAAACGACACAAAGTGGCACCATCCTTTTTTTTTCTTTCTTTTGTTTAATAACGAGATTAAAAAAGTTAGAGTTTAACCAAATGTTTTTTTTTACTTTTTCAAACTTTAATATACTATCCAATGACATTTTGACATGTGTTCCCATAATAAAAGAAAATAATAATAAAATAAAAACACAATTAAACAGAGAAAGTTATTTTTCAAATTTATTTTCTTCAATCTCTCTCATTCGATCTCAATGCTCTCTACCTCTCAAACCAATTTAAAAAAAAAAACAAATTCACATAGATTCATGGCACATAATTGCAATATAGTCATAACAACCAGACAAGTGATAACATAGATTAAAGCAAACACCCAATAAAAACAGAGAAGAACATGAATTATCGAAATCGAAATGTCGCAAGGACATGACCTTGTTACGTGAAACAAAGTCAGATCCAAGCGTAAAAGAGACATCTGTTGGTGTGTGTTGGCGGAGTCTTGATGGAGTGTAGCGTCAAAACGGTTGCGATCGATTCTCGGCGACGATTACAAGGATGACTCCGGAAGCGGTGCGACGATGGAGCTCATGATTCTAACTTCCTTTTATTTTTCCCGTTTTCTTTGAATCCAATCTCTTATTGTTTTTATTTATGTGTTTGTCTCCTTTTTTTTTTCTTTTTCTAATGCATATATATATATATATATATATATATATATATATATATATATATATATATATATATATATATATATATATATATATATATATATATATATATATATATATATATATATATATATATATATATATATATATATATATATATATATATATATATATATATATATATATATATATATATATATATAGGACTAGAAAATACACAAAAATAATAATAACAATTAACACAATATCTTTTTGTTTTTTATAATAAGACAAGAATAAAAGGAATTAAAAATCATGTTTTTGTGTTTTTTTATGATAAGACAAGCATAAAAAGAATTAAAAATTATGTTTTTGTGTTTTTTATGATAATACAAAAATAATAGAAATTAAAAATTATGTTTTATTTTTTTAAAAGAAAATATTAATAAACAAATTAAAAATAAAATTAATTAATAAAAATAAAAATTTAAATTAAACATCTAATTAAATCTTAGAAATTAAATGATTATTTAAATAAAACTGATTAAAAAACGAAATAAAAAGTCAGGCAGAAAAGTGCTTGAAAAAGTAAAATGAACACAAAATAATCAGCACGAAATAAACATATTGAAAAAATACAGCATTTGGTCAGATTTTGAAATAAATTTAGAACAGTTTGTTTATAAATCTAACAAATTTATTCTCACAGACATTTTGGGCAATATGTAAGATGAAGTGCATGTTATGTTATACAGATGATGCAAAACGAAAAACACAATCTTAGGGTTAAAAATTAGGATATGACATTTACCATCACAAACATGCAATTATTCAGCCAAACTGTAGTTTCCATGAATAATTACACACTAAGTCTTTTGTGATTTTAATTTTATTCAAATTTATACAACAGATGTTATTTTTGCAACTTATTATTTTAATCCACTAATCCAAAATTACTAGACATTTTTAATTTAATAAATTAAATGGTAAGACCTTAAAATTTAGACAACCATTACCCACAAATATAATTCCAAAATTGTATGTTTATATGATCGCTTAATAATCAAATGATTATCAAACTATCCTAATTATGCAAGAAAATACTCGCATAATTAAGTCTGAAAAATTAAACACATAATTGTGTTTATGTCATGTACATACCGGTATAATAAACCGGTTGTACTCGAAGGGTGTTAAAAAAAGTTCTAAATTAAATTAACACATAAATTTTTTTTAATAAAATAAAATTAGTATTTAAATTTTCCTCACAATTAAAAAAAATTAAGTTGAACACATAAAATAAAAATTGATATAGTTAAACATTATTGGAGACCATAACTTATATATAGTATGATGACCAACTAGGATTCCCATTATTCTCAAATGGGGCATTCTTGCATTATACCCAATTATTTAATTAATTAATTAAATAATTCATAAATAAAATCTAAAGAGCCTTTTTAACATTATTTGATCACTTAATTATTTAAAGACACTTCATTGATAAAATAACTAATATAATAAATAAATATATTTGATCACATAATTATTAAAATATTAATATATTATTATATTATTAAAATATTCCAAATCTCTCTATCTATCTGATAAGCATTACCATCTGCATTTCTTTTCTTGTATATTGCTCGTGGAACAACTATTCTCTCAAAGTTCATTATATATAAACTTGTTCTTTTACCATAAAATTTATTGTGTATTTATTACTTTGAGGAATATTTTAATTATTGAAATGAATCATTATAATCATTTTTTTCATTCGAAATTTTGTCCAATGCATTATTTCAAATCGGTGCCACATGATATTATATTATAGATGAAAGATACAAATTATTTTCTTTCTTATATTTCAACCTCACATACATAGTCAACAAAATCACGTAATAAATTCTTGATTTTGTTGCTTAGTTATTTGAAGGAGGATGAACTTTGGGTAGTGAATAGTCCAAATTAAATTCAGAAAATCTCTCCCTAGCTATCTTGCGAGGAACTTTCCTATAAACTGAGCCAAGAGTTTTGGTTTCTGAAGCAACCAAATCTTTTCTCATGGCATTGAGCATTTTTTGGTTATTGCATCTTTCTTTTCTTGACTTTTGATTATTGACCAACAAAGTCTTCACCTTTTTTCCTTCATTCATCGTTCGAAAATTATTTTGTAAGGATTCAAGAACTTTTATGTCATCAGTCTGCATAAAAACAAAAAAATAAAAACTATAATGAAGAAAATAATACATTAGTTACCATATATAATAGTTTTATTTATAATATATAAAAAAAGTGTTAAACATATTAAAATGTTTTAGTTGGTACAAACCTTGATTGAGAAATGTGGTTTATTCACCAACTTGATATCATGTTGATTAGTGCTGGTAAGATGCATGGCACTGCAATATGTATTACAGAAAACGATCAAAAAGAAAATAATGTATGTGACTGACATTCTCAGGGACAAATAGATAGTATACTCTTTTGAGAACAATTGTATTGGCAGATCAAGGAGTATTTGTAGAAACAAATAAGTAAATGTGCATTAAATGCAATGACTTGAAGAGTAAGAGGTTATGTTGCATAACATGGAGTTGTAGGGAAAAATACAAGTGGTAAGAAAAAAATCAAAGATATGATGGCTCCACTCCTGTCTGTACCTTATTCAGGTATCAATTTAGTGGGTCCCAAGTGAGAAAAGAGAAGAAAGAAAGTCATCTACAAACTATAATTAACCGAACTCTCAATTTTTTTAAAGAATAATATAACAATTTGTTCAAATATAATTTTGTTGTTATATTATTCTAAAAATTAAAAATATGTTAGTAATAAGTCATCTTTTATCATCCTATACATTTTTTTTAAAAAAATGGTAATGATTTTTTATATTAAAAAAAAACTGTTTTTTTAAACCCTTACTTCTACTCCTTTCCAAATTCTCAAATAAAACCTTATAAAATTTAATATTTTAATGTATGTCCTCCTCGGGTTGACCACCTTGAGATAGGCTGTTGACGAGCCATAACCTATCGACTGATTATATGGTCATGTTTTTAGAATCTCCTTACCATGGGGCTATTTTGTACCTCACTACAAAAAAATATACGTCCTAGGCACATCCAACGATAATCCGCATATTCCACAACTAAAAGATAGTAAGGTCATTATCCCCCTACCACATATATAGGAAATGACACCATTTCAAGTAAAAAGTTTGAAACATAATTTGAATACTTTCTACTCTTTCACATATTAGCTTGGGTATCAGAGAGCTAACCTTGTAGGTACACCTCCACTTTGCCGCATCAGAAGTCTTCTCTGTCGCAGCTTTCACAACTCTCTCCATTTCTGATTCCATAAAGAAACAGTGACTTCGTTTATGGGAAACAATTTTTGATTCCCACATTCTCACCAAGAACCACTCATTCTCTAATTAAAGAAGGATTTCTACCGGAAACAAGTGGAGCGCAAGCAATGGTTTTTGAGAAAATGATCAAAAGACCTAATTTTGTTTCATATCGAGCTTACCACCTATCGTCATCAATCGAAGCATTTTGAAGCCCCGTCTCGTTTACTGCTTCACCGTCTTCCAATCATTTCATGCTATATGTCAATCTAGAAATTCAACAAGTTGATCGATCAAGCTTATGATTCATGGATTGAAATAAGATCGCCAGAATTGCAAACTCCGAAATACCTCTGATTCTCGCTGCTAAATCTCTTTTAATGTACTTTATAAAGACACATTGGGGCTGCTAAATCTTAAGAGAACATACTTGGATCCGTTCACTGGTGAAGATTAATTAGCTTTCGACGATTTGGTTTCTCGTCCTAATGGAGCGATATATCTGAGGTTATCAATTGGAGAAGGGACACATTAAAGAGAAATGACTCTCAAGTTCCTAGTTATACGGTGCAAAAGCGCCTTTAATGGTATCATAGGAAGATCTTTCATAGAGAGGTTAGATGCATTCGCTTCTACAGTTAAATTGAAGATAGCTTACCACGACATAGAAGAAGTATCGGTCACCGTCAGTGCAGATCTACGAGAAGTAAGAAGAATTAGGGGGATAATCCATGAAAATGTTCTGATATCAACGTCAATAGGCGGCAACGAGTTCGATCTAGATGCGTGTAAAGCAGAGGTCAAATCTACCCCAGATGATGAGTTTGAGTTTGTGCAGCTTGGAGAAAATCCAACCAGGTCGATTAGGATAGAGAATGAGCCCTCCGCTGAGGTAAGGTACATGTTGATCTAGTGCATACTGGAGAACGCCGACCTCTTCTCCATCTCTCCACACTGTCGCAACTGTGAAAAACAATCGGCAGAAACAAACAGAAGATCCGCCACCAAACATTATTTATCCCAAAGGAGAGAAAGGAAGCAATCGAAGAAAACCTAAAGGAAAGGAGAAGATAAGGTCATCGCAACCAAATCTTGAGTTCGGGAGTCGGTTACGCAAGGGGAAGGTATTAGCACCCCTCACATTCGTTGTACTCAATGAGATCCATGCTTGTTGTCTAATTAAATGGTGTGTTATCTAAAAGCTATTGATAAATGAAAATAGAAAAGCAAAAAGAAAAAGGATACACGATAGGACATCGCCGCCCTATGCCTACGTATTCCCTCGTGCAATGGAAAAGTCAGAGTCAACGTAGTTCGGAAAACTATAGATAAATAGGGGAAAGGTTGCTCGCCAAGACATCGCCGTCTTGTGCCTACGTATCCTCATCTCGTATGAGAAATCAGAGCAAACGTAGTTCGGGCTAACTAAGCCACTGGTTGATTAAGTGTTTTTTATGAGCGACGTTAAGTTCCCATTCCAACAGTCAGAGACGATGCCTGTTTGCAATAGAACGGAAAAATGACGTACTCTTTTCTGAAAATGATTTTGAAAGAACAAATCCCGAAGGATAAAAAATCTTGAATTTTGTTTAAGAGTTTTAATGAAGTGAATTGATTGGTTTGAGATTCACGTTGCACTAATGACTATGATATATGAACGAATATGTTGAATATCGCCCACGGGGCATACACTAAACACTCTATACAAGTAAGGAGAAACCTCTCACTCATAATTTCCCATATGCTTAAGGCTCGTGGCGCACAATGTTCATCACCTTTATTAAGTATTTTGAATTATTTTGAGATGAGAAGAGAAGACTCAAAGAAAAAAACACTAAAGGGAACTGAAAACCCTAATGTTATCATACAAAATGGTCCTAAGGTTGAGATAAAAGGGAAAACTACCTAATATTATCATACAAATGATGGACCTAAAGTTAAGATGAAAGGGACTATCCTAATTGTTATCATGCAAAGGATTGAAAGCTTAATGTCTCTCATACTCCCATCTTAATCAAAAATTAAGTGGGACTAGGAATCCTAAGGGATCATGTGAGCAAGCACAAGTAAACACTATCCAAGTCAATCACAAATGAAAACAAGATTGAAACTTAAACAAGTCTCATAAAGAGAAAAGAGATGAAAAAGAAAGAAGAAGAAGAAAGAAGATGCAATCAAGATGAACAATCATGGAAGATCAAAGACAAGAAGCATCAAGAAAACACACATCTCAATCATTCAAGGTGAACACCAACATCATGTCAAAACAATAAAAAACATTCACATGTCAAACCATAATAAAAAGATTTGAAAACATAATGGCAAAACAAAGTGCGCACACATAACCAAATGACTTAAACATCTTACAAGAAGAAATATCAATCACAAAGCAAAGTGAAAAGAAGTCAAATGAGATGAGAAACAAGTTAGCACAACAATAACATCACTTCACATCCAATTTATGTCAATGATCAAAGAAGAAGCACGAAAAGTCAAGTCATGCATTATATTCATAAACAAATTAAATGCTACACAAAACAAGCATGCAAGACATAATCTTAAAGGAAGAGACATGATATTAGGTCATGCAACCAAGCGTGGGAAGAAACATCAACACACAAAGGAAACATCAAGGTTTGAACTCAAAATATGCATTAAGAACAAGTTCATACACCAAAGTCATTCTCAAAGATAGGAGGCACTCAAACAAGAACATGCATGATCAAGTATCAATCCATCAAGGTTATAAAAAACTCAAATGATATGCATCATGTTCAAATTCCAATCGACAATCAAACTCAAGAGGAGACAAACTAAAATTGGAGTACAAAAGTCAAGCAAACATCTCTCAAGTTAACTCATAAAAGAAGCAAATGATCATGTGAAGCATATGAGATGAAGTGGTCATACAATGATCCTCTACACATGAAAACCAGAACCTTAAAAATTTTGATTAAAGCAAATAAGGATCAACAAAAATCCATTGAATCATCCAAGAGTTAAACTCAAAAGATTAGGTTAAGACATGCACAAACTCCTAGTCAAAACAACAACAACTTGATGCACCATCCAAAAATAGAAACGAGAACAAATAAAATTCAAATAGGTATTTAAACTCAAGTCATGTGTATTAAGAATCAAAGTGCAAAGCATCACAAAAAGGATGGCAAGGAAACATCAACAAATGAATCAAACAAAATTAAGTATTCAACTAGTCGAACATATTTCGAGGATCAAACAAAACCAAATAATCATCATACAAGAAATGAACATCAAGACATGGAAAGATCATCCAAAAACTCTTTAAACATGTGCCAAATCAAGATAAAAAATTAGGGTTAAGAGCCACAAAGGTAGGTCATGAAACAAGATCAAAGTTCCAAACTAGGTCAAGTGAAACACCCCACAAGATTTATTCAAAATAAAATATTAAAATAAAATAAAAATAAAAATAAAAAATATTAAAAATTAAATAACATGTTGAAGTGTCTAAAATGTATTTTTGGTGATTTTTAAGATGAAAAGAAGTATTAAAAATAAAATCAAATGAAAACAAAACTAAAAAAAAAGAAATAAAAGGGAAAGAGAGAGAGGGGGGTGTAATAGCAATCTGGATACAAAGGGAAACCAGTTTAGTAGCGCATTGGGCCTAAAATTGAGGTGTTAGTAGTAAAACAACAAGGCCCGTGTTCATAAAAAACCAACTCAGAAATAAAACAAGAAAATAGCCACATGGGATATTCATTAAATGACATGGCCAATATGTCAGTGCCACACAAGCCTTGACCTGAGTCAAATGGACATGCAAGCAAAAGAGGATCAGACGGCGGAGCTCTAGCTCCGATCGTCTTCTCCGTCGGCCCTCACCGAAGCTGGCCTAGAACCTCATCAAAACTCAAAACAACTTACACCTTTCCACTCAAATTTTCACGTAGAACCCACTTTCACCCTTTATTTCTTCATTTGAACCCTCTAACACTCATAAAAAAGGCCATGAAAATGAGACACACATGATGGAACTTTCATAAAACAAAACAACAATGACACATATCTCTTCCTTATGCTCCCAGAAACCAAAACACAACAATCACATGTTCAAATAGGTATTA